CACCATAGCCCCATCAGTGTCTGACACCATAGCCCCATCAGCGTCTGGCACCATAGCCCCATCAGTGTCTGACACCATAGCCCCATCAGTGTTCTCCATCCATGGCCCATATCTCCCCACCCTCACATGCCACAGATGGCCCAGAGAGCCCTAGCCCAGGAACTCCTGTGTCCTGGGGGAGGGCCTAGGTGTTCCTACCACCTTGCCCTGGCCAGACTGCAGCTGATGAGTGGAGAGTTCAGCAGCGCTGAGGTCAGTCTGCAGAAGGCGCTTAAGGACGACATTGAGGTACCCATCAACAACATCATCGTATCTCTACATCTCCTCTCTTCATGCGGCAACATGCTTCTCAAAGCATGTTACTGCGCTTGGTGAAGCATGTGGGGTGAAAGATCAAGGCGCTAACTGTCTTTACTGCTTCCAAGCCAATATGGGCATTTAGACCTAAAACAGCAAGATTAGAGATTATAGAATTTGGGAATTGGCATTTTCACACTAACAGGCCAAGTTTAGTAACATGGGAGGTTTATTTTTAATGCATGATACATTTTAGTCTTTAACTCATGCTAATATGTTATTTGAAATCCAGTGAAATAATAACGAGTCTTTGAGCAGAGTCCGGATACGTGGGCGTGGCTTGGCCACCTGCACTACCTGAAGGGGAACTACAGCCAGGCGCAGGAGTGCTACGAGAGAACTTTGGACTTTGTGAAGGATGCTGCAGACCCACACGCCGTCTACCTGCGTCTGGGGCAAATCTACCTGCAGGAAAAGCAGGTGAGCCACTCTGCCGGGGCAGCGAGCGCTTCATTCATGCGATAATGGAAATTTAACAATACTGTAACTGACATCGAAAACACTCATTTTATTATCTTAAAGAGGACACAGTGAAGATTTCTATACCACAGGTACCACAGTCTTTGGTTAAGAATATGGGCATGTCTCTGTGTTTCTGTTACTTCTTATCAGGCTTTTTTTCATTGCTTCCTCCACGCAGTTTGAGAAAGCCAAAATCACACACCTGCAGGCCTGTAAGAGCTCCGCCTCCTGTCTCTCCTGGCTGGGCGTGGGCGCTGCCTGTTACCGGGTAACTGACATTCACACACCTACCGAGTAAATTACAGTACAGTATAACTGTACGGCTGCATGGCTCTGTTTCTCTGTGAATGCTTTCTATTATCTTACAGAATACAGTGCAATAATTCTGCACAGGAGAAATGCAATAATTACATAGCATCTCAGTCACTCTGATATACTGTTATGAGCTGTCTGTTATAACTATTTTATTGCACAAGGATATGCACACACACACACACACAGACACACACACACATATGCACATACACAGACACAGACACAGACGTTTGTATTCATTTATATCTTTGTGGGGACCATCCATTTATTTCTGTGGGGAAAACTCTAATCCCAGCATTGACATCCGTAACCCCCACCCAGCCCTAACCTTAACCATAAGGAATCCAACAAAATACAAGACGTTTGGCAGTTTTAGTTTTTTTTGCAGTCACAGATTTTTATAAAATTCATTTTCCCCTTGTTTTCTGCTCCTTTTGGAGCAAATAATATATATATATAACCCCCCCGCCGCGCAAACACACACACACACACACACACACACACAATGCTCATATGCTTCCACGCTTACAATAACAATCGATTTAGATGTGAATCAGCTTTCCCAAGCCGCCACACATCACAGAGATGCCATTAAGGTGAAACTGCACAAACAGGAAGTGAGGCTACATGACTGGTATGTGTGGAGCTGTGCACACTGGTCACCGGTCAGACTGAGAAGGCGTGTCGGTATGTGTGGAGCTGTGCACACTGGTCACCGGTCAGACTGAGAAGGCGTGTCGGTATGTGTGGTGCTGTGCACACTGGTCACCGGTCAGACTGAGAATGCGAGTCGGTATGTGTGTCGAGCAGCTGGGAGAGCTGACTGAGGCAGAGGATGCCCTGACAGAGGCCAACGCCTTAAACAACACCGACGCCGAGGTCTGGGGCTACCTGTCCCTGGTCTGCCTGCAGGTCCGTCTCCTCGCCTCTTTTTGCGTACTAGGGGGTACAGATTACATGGCTGCATTTCTAGCACCACATATTGTGTAAAATGTGCAATCCCATCAGATCGGAATCCCAGTACACTCCCTGAGCATGACTGGAAGTGGGGGGGGGGGGGGGGGGGGGGGGATATGGAACCCCTGGTATTTAATTTGGCTTCATTCATCCCCCCAATAAATAGACCTTTGTACCTTTGTACTTAAATGATAAAGTTGTGCCCCCCCCCCCCCCATGTCAAACTCTTTCCCTCTCAGACAGGAAGGCAGCTTGAGGCAGAGCAGACCTATAAATATGCCATGAAGGTGAGACCTTCTGCTCCTGTTTGCAGGTTGACTCGTAGCTCCTATGATGTATTGCATGCCATGCTTCTTAATTGACCGTTTCTCTTGTCTCGCCCAGCTGAATTTACAGAAAGAGACACTTCTTCAAGAGATCAAAGACCTGCAGGCTCAGGTTGGCTTTGGGAATCCCTGCTTCTAAACCACAGCCAACCTTGCGACAGTCTGACTGGTGCCCAGCAAAAGCACTATTCCTCTCATGTTGGTGTCAGCTGGAACTGTCACATGACTCCAACTGTGTCACAACTGCTCTGCTATCGGTGGACATGTGACATTGCAATAGACAGGACCAAATCTGTCATCATCTGTGGTCCTGTCTTGCTATTCATGATGATATTACGTTTTCATTTAATGTAGTAGCCTATTCATGTTTTTTTTGTTTATTGAACTACAAACATAATGATTTAAAAACAACTGAATATAAATTCGAATACATTGATTTCCATATTTTGCATATGCTACGAAGGATAAAAGTGTACGTTTTTAATAAACGCCAGCCAAACCACGCCTTACCCTGCCGTGACATTCCCACCGAACACGTCTCATCTCATGAGAGGAGGAGCACGTGGGCGCGCGCTCGCCCGTAGCCGCGAGCCAGCACTTCCTGTTTTGGTGCGGACGGTTCCCAGGAAGAATCGCGGTCTGCCGGACGACGCAATTTATTCTACAAGGTCGGGAGATCTTTGTTACGAATAAAATAACATTACTTTGTTTTGATTATTAGCAGCAACCGGAATGAATTTATTTCTGGGAATCCGCAAGATAAATAAATGCTTCGAGATAACTGCAGTTCTCCTCATCTCGAATTTCTCTGTTATTGCTGATTGTGAGGCTACTTCTGGGGCTATGAGTTAGCTCCGTTACGAGGCCCTTAGCTAAAGGAGGGTAAACATTCACAGGCTGCGATGTAGCAGCGAACTGTTCATGACCGTTACATTAGAATGCAAGTTTGTTTTTACTGGTCTGGGTCGCTGGTTGTACTTTACATCCAAGTCGTTTAAATTTAGGCAATACATTTAAATTAAAAGTGTCGGATTGTAGTTGTTCCACTGTCAAGATACCTACTTTGCTACAGATGCGCAGTACGGTGAGTAGGGATTACCTGCAGGCCGACGACACGATGAAGCAGAAGATGGCTCTCTGCCGAATGCTTTTAAATAAAAATTAACGTATATAATATTCTGTAGAATAGTATGTTGTAGAAATTTTGTTTAGTTCAGATATACACTGATTCACTTTAGATAGATTTTAACGCAGCAAAGGCGACAGGACAGAAGTGCAAGCACCGGAATGACGGCGCCCGAACAGCCCGATTGACATGAAGCTGCTTTGGCTTTGTTGTGGTTCACTGTTACTCTCCCAGTGAATGAGTGCGCGCGTTGTTGTCACTGCCAGATCTCTATCAGTGCGTGGAATAGTCACGTACGTTATGCCCTTTGGACTGCGGCTCAGTGCCAGCAGATTTACCGAGAGAAGGACTGGCACAGGCTATAAACAATAACACCAACAAACCCTCACACAGCCCTCAGTATGACTGCACACATGCTCGGCTTGGTGTTAGTTTCCAGTTAGAGTTGTAGGCATCGTTTTGTGGATGATATGAAGTCAACTAATTCATTTTCTTCTGGCAGTAAAGCAAATCACATTTAACTTTAGTAAGACTTAAAGAAAACAAATTTGTCAATTTCAGCCCCCTTTACCGCCCTGTTTCAATCTGACAGCGCTCCCGATTAATAACAGCAACAGCGATGGATCTGTCGTCATTGTGTAAAAAATTGTGTTGCATTAAAGGAAGTCTACATTTGAGGAAAAAAAACAACATATCTTCAACCAGATAAATGACAATTGCAATTGTGGAACTGAAATTATTTGGCAAGATGCAGAGCAGGCTTTTGTTGACTGATTATTGTTACAGGTGAATTCATAGACGCTGGTGACAGTGGATCCAGACAGAATGATGCCTGGGGAAAACATAGAGGAGTCTGGGAAGGACTCAGTAGTGAGCAATGGGGCGGTGTACGAGGAGAGAGAGGTGGATGATGTCCTCAGGTAATGACATTCATAATGTGCCGCGGTGTGTTTATGTGGATTATTTGGGTGGGGATGTGTAGCGTGCGCTTTAACAAAGCTCCTACCGTAGCCCCGAGGACCTGTCGGAGATGTTGGCGGCGGGGACCAAGGAGTCCCACGACAAGGCGGAGAACGCTCCGTTTGTGAAGGACTTCCTCCGGGGGCGAATCCGCAGGGAGATCTTTAAGGTCAGTGCGGGGTATCGGTTTCAACCAGGTTCACCCTGAAAACTGTTTGCAAAGATTCGACTATGTGTCTGTTCATGTTCCGAATTGGTGAGCTTAGGATCAGGAAATGTATTCTGCCGGTGGTACAGTGTGGTTCTTCAGCTTCACTGACTTTGTTATTGAAAGGCACGTGATCCAGAGGGTTGGTCAGGAGAACTGCCCCCCCCCGGTCTAGTAAGCTGGTAGTAGGTGTTATGTAGGCTACACGATATCACATCACGATATAATCGCCATAGGTCTGCATGAGAAATAATCACCAGCCTTTAATGCTTCTCTGCACGCACCTGCTTGTCTCTGCCAGCTGGGGGCTGTAGCGCTGTACTACACCTATACGGCCATGGAGGAGGAGATAGAGCGGAATAAAGACCATCCCCAGTTTGCCCCGCTCTACTTCCCTGCTGAGCTGCACCGGCACCAGTCACTGGGCCGTGACCTCCAGTATTTTTATGGGGAAGACTGGGAGCGCAGCATAAGCTGCTCGCCGGCTACGCAGCGCTACGTGGCGCGCATCCACGAGGTGGGCGCCTCCGAACCGGAGCTGCTGGTGGCCCATGCCTACACGCGCTACATGGGCGACCTGTCTGGCGGTCAGGTCCTGCGCAAGGTGGCCCAGCGGGCGCTCAAACTGCCCCCCACGGGGGAGGGGCTCAACTTCTACCTGTTCGACGCCATCCACAACGCCAAGACCTTCAAGCAGCTGTACCGTAGCCGCATGAACGAGCTGGACCTGGACACGGCCACCAAGGAGAGGGTGGTGGCTGAGGCCAACCGGGCCTTCCAGTTCAACTTGGAGGTGAGATGCTCCACTCCTGTTCCTATTTTGGTTACTGATGCACAGGATCCATGCGTCATTCTGATGGGTGATTTAAGCTCCATGACGGCTCACGCTTGTGGATTTCATTGCCAAGAAGGCAGATATTATCTCCTGGATTTACACAGCGGCAAAAATGAAATTTGCACCTCTTTGACCGTTTCCACGGCTGGTTCCTCTTGGTGGCTTCAGGGAGGATGATAGCATTTAGGTCACTGCCTCGGTGTTGTTATGACGTCAGATATCGTGAATCCAAACTGGTGTAAATGTCAGCATCCTGGAGGAAGCGAAGACCTCAAGATAACATGTCATATGACAGCCAAGTCTCATTACACTGCGAGCGTGCTAAGGTAAGCTGTATTCAGTTCTCGTGTGTTTCCTCCAGGTGTTTGCAGAGCTAGAGGAGGTGCGGAAAACTCTTCCAGACGATTCTGCTGATGAGGCCATCCCTGCCCATGGCGACATGCAAGGAGACATTAGCAAGTGCCCCTACTATGCAGCAAAAATGGGTAAGGATGCAAAATTGTGTAACTTAGGGATGACAGACACATGCTACATCAGCATTACTACACCTACGGACAACTCGCACGTGTGAACGGACTTGCCATTAAGCCGATTCTATGAAAAATGTCCATTAAACACAATGTCTTGTAATAACAAGCATGCACTACTTTGTGACGCTTGTGGAAACATTGCGTGGCTTCAGCGGTTCGTCAGCTCCGTTGCATTAGTGAGAATTCCGCAAAGTATTTAACAGATGCATTTTCATTACGGCGCTCTTGATGAATGAACGTCATGCCCAAAATGCACGAGTCGGCCTCATTTATGCATCTTAAAGACACACTGCAGTAGGCTCATGTCAGTGCATCCTAAGTGTTTTATATGCTTAGAAAGATAAAATAAATACTGTAAGACAAACATTTAATTAACTGATGCTAAGTAAGAACCGTAATCTGAAGTTCGACTTAAAGACAAACTTGGAAAACGACTCTCGTCCGTAGCCTGGGGGCTGTCTGTATGCAGGGGAGCTTGTGTGGGGTGCAGTTTCGTCTTGGATTGAATCTTAATAAAACAGAGGCCTTTTCTGTCATGGGGGAGTTTCCTCTGCGCTCATCTGTTCTCCTTCTCCACATGTAGCAGCCTGTGGAGGTACGAGCTACGCCTGTCAGATGGGCAAGGCGCTGCTAAGACACCCCACCGGCCAGGTCATGCTGGCTACCTGGGTGGCCGTCGTCGCCGGATTGGTCGCCTGGTACTTCATGTGATTGGGCGTGGCCAAATAACAGCCGGTAGAACATTCAGAAGGTGGATGGGGAAGCTGAGACTGGGGGCCTTGTAGCTGCTTGGACATGAATCCACCAACGACATGCATTGTCTGCATGTTCTTGTTCTTTGTGTCTCCATCCTTGTTTTTAGTCTGTCCGCAGTGTTGTTTTTTTTGCTGTTTTATCCCAGTTTAGATCCTCAGTACCTTACAAAGGAATAATCCTTTGCCAAGTTCATATGGCACCATTAAGAATGCGTAGATTGCTGTGATTGAAATTTTGAACTGTGTACTATTACACACTTATTTTTAAGCTGTTTTACTCAAATTCCCAAAATGAAGCATAATCATTTGGAGGATCTGTCCATTAGTGTTCTGTTTTTCATCTTGTCTGTTTTTTTTCTAAATCCCTTTTTCTCATTAGCTTGAACTTTCTAATAACGCGTGTGCAATAAAATGATCCTGAGATGACAGCCTTTAGGGTTCCCTGCTAGCTTGGGAAGCCAGAACAGTCTTAGCTGCAGCGCTGCGCCAGTGCTGAGACGCTCATTCTTGCAGACAGTGCAATGCATGCACATAACTACACTGCGCTGCTTTTACCAGGAAAAAAATGCAAAGGTATGATGTAGAGACCTTTACCATGGACCAGCAGATAATACCACAGCTCACATGCTTTTGAAACTAGCATTTGGTGTGTTAGACCGATATTAGGATGCCTTGGGATCAAATAGGATTACTACCAGGAACTTTTCATTAGGTCAAATGGAAGCTGTTAAATAGCAGGAGTGCATTTGGTTCACTAGTGTCAGTATGAGTACTGAGCAGTGATACACACTGGACCTACAAACGTTCCGTTTCGAAGCCCTCAGGCCAAGTGGTTGCAAAATTCATTGAATTCAGTTGTTGAGTCTGCAGTGTGATCTATTTATTGAAATGATCTAGCCTGAATTTTGACGAGTGTTATAAGTTCTTTGCAGTATTAATGGTAGATGTCACTAATGCAAAAGGATCTTTCTGATGTTGGGTGGGGATTCCTTTAGGCTGTCATTTGTATTCAATACGGCGCTGACCTCCTCAGCGTGCGTAAGCTCCGGACATCTGCCTGTTCAGTCTTGTGATTAAACGGTTTGTCATGTTGCACTTTTTTGAAAATTGTTCTGTTTCATATGCAAGAGCTTTCTGTGAAGTTTAACTTTTAATTTATTTTTGGAATGTACAATAAAAATGGAATAGAGATGATACTCGCAACTAATGAATGGTATATCGTTTATGTCCTATGGTCATCTTGTTTTGTCTCCATTGTCTCATGTGAGGGGAGACTTGAGTATGTCAGTGCTGACTGGTCCATGACAGTCACATGATCTCTGGAACATCCAATCTGTTCACCTTGAAGGGCTAAGAAGAGTTTCTGTGGACAGAGGCTGCCTCCCATCCTGGTCTTCCTGCACGACCGGATCTGGCACTAGGAGGGGAGATGGAAGACTGGAGGCTGTGGAACCTGTTTTACTGGTCCCCAGACAGGAATGGGCAAGATGGCCCCCCAGGATGATTAATAGCCAAAGAATCAGCTGACCTTACAAGTCATTCGGAAGCTGCACATGCAGCTGGTGTTCATATGGCTCTATGGGAGCAGTTACTTAGAAGCTAAGGTTCTATGGGGCTATGGGAGCAGTTATTGTGTGAGATGGGCAATGTAGGATGGGAGTATATAGCACACTCAGCATGCATAGGATGGGCTATGGGAGCAGTTATTGTGTGAAATGGGCAATGTAGGATGGGAGTATATAGCACACTCAGCATGCATAGGATAGGCTATGGGAGCAGTAACAGGGATGGGCAGTATAAGATGTGAGTATATAGCACACAGCATGCATAGGATGGGCTATGGGAGCAGTAACAGGGATGGGCAGTATAAGATGTGAGTATATAGCACACACAGCATGCATAGGATGGGCTATGGGAGCAGTAACTGAGGAATGGGCAATGTGAGTATATAGCACACATACAGCACATAGAGATTACCATATAAAAATCTGGCTTTCAAATACTGTTAATCTAAGCAGTATGTAATATTAATGTGTTTTTCATGAATAGCAGTGTTACTGCAGAGGTCAGGTAAGCTGTCAGTGTCTCCTTGTGACTGATTGTCCCCACTGGCAGGGATCTGAATGCATACGTTAAGGAGTTAGGTTTGCCTGTGCCGAGAAGAGCAGGAGCTCTTCATTCAGTAACAGGGTAGCTTCTTCCTGTGGAGAAGTAGTTTATCAAAAACAGAAAAGGTCCATTGTGCTGCCAATAAAAGAAAAGCATTTTCCTTGGTTGTTTCTTGTGTTTTTCCTGTGACTGTTGGACAAGCCGCATGGTAATGAGAGGATAGATGGACAGACTGACAGATGGATGCAGAAGCGAGAATGTGAAATTTGTTTAAAGGCATCCCCCCGCCCCCCCCACACACACACACACACACATTGGTCATAGGTACAGAGAAATGAGCTGCATCTTCTCATTTATACCAGTTTTTTTAATTGACATCAGTACATGTTCAGATAAACAGTTAATCCTATTTACAGCATGATACCAGGGAAACAATAGTTCTTCGGGATGAATTGGATCAATTCGATCAATATTGTTTAAAGAGCAGCTGGAATCAAGTCCTGGGAGGTGACTGAGTGCGTCTATGTCATGTGATCATGGATGAGCACTGAGAAACTGGGACCTCAGGTTTGGCTTTTGTGTGAAGTGTAATGGAAGCAGTGTGAGAGGCTGAAAGTGCTTCGTCATTATGAAAGACAAAGATGCTTCCTGCTCAGAGCACTGAAAGTGCCTCATTCCCAAGGAGAGAGAAGCTGTCAACTCACACCCACTGAAATAGACGAGCACAAACAGAGAAGAGCAGGGAAATCTCTTACTGCAGAGAAAAAGGATTTCAGTGTGCAGGACCTGGAGCTGGTGGGAGTCCAGAGGTGGTTCTGGAGGGCTGCAGTTAATTTCCAGTGGATCTTTTGCCTGGAGGGACGAAACAACCCCCATCAGTCCACTAAGTCCCTTTAACCACAACCAATCGCACACAGGAGGACTTAGTGTTGCCACTGAAGTTGTAAGAAATAAAAATTGGATAAGAGAGCTAGAATACAACAGGCCTGTAAGAGAAGCCCTTAAGGTGTCAGTTTTCCCTACTGCCAAGTACTGCAGGAATTGAGCCTCCATACCATGATGGCTCTCAGAAAAGCCCCGCCTACTGTGGTCATGTGACTACCAGACAGCAACAAGCCAGGAAGCAGCCACACAGTAGCACAATAAAAACCTGTGCCTTTATTTCTTTCAGTGACAAAGGAAGGCCACAGACGGGCCCTACCTGGGTTATGGCTGTCAGGAACTAAACATTTTCTTTAATTTGGAGAAGAAGCCCCCTTCTTGCTGGCTGTGCCCTCCCTCAGATTGCTGACCACTTCTGCCCCCACCTGGACACAAACCAGTATGCGATCAGCCAGAGTGCAGGGCCGCACAAGAGAGCAAACTGCATTAGCGGAATGGCCGGGTTCCTGCACTTCGTGTGTGTGTGTGTGTGTGTGTGTGTGTGTGTGTGTGTGTGCATGGCTCCATCAGCTCACCTGCAGTAGTGGTGGTCACACCATTGACCGTCCCGTCTACGTCCGTCTCCTCCTCAGCGTAGCTCAGGAGCAGAGCCCTCTGTCTGTCTGTCAGGGTCCTACACAGCGAAAGGAAGAGGAACAAATCTTACTACGAAATCGCCACGTTCCACGGATCTGCCCTGAATAAGGGGGGAGGCTCTTCACAGGTATTCTGACCTCATGGTAGCTCCCACGAAACCTCAGTTTCTGATCGCATTTCCGGGTGATCGGTCATTTCTCCCTGACCGCCAATATCATTCTCTCCCACCCTTTAATTCTTCATGAGAGCACTTTCACGTCACAAACCGCTCGCTTTAAGCAAATGACCGAGCAACCGAATACCTTCCAATCCAGTACGATTGCTTTACAAAGCTACGAATTTGAGTAACCTGAACAGACGGGCCCGTGACCGACTGCTCCTTACTTTGGGACTCGGATCTTGAAGCGGATGTAATGGTCTCCATAACCATAGCTGTTGATTCGCGCGATCCCCTTCCCAGCGAGCCGGATCTGCTGGTCGGACTGGACACCAGCCGGGATCTGTGGGAGCAGAGGGAGGATCGACACGCTGTGCTTTCTTACCTTTAAACCCACCATTAAGGAGGCGTGACTGACGTGATACCTGCTTATTACGCAGGATTATTTTTAAGCGAGCAGAAGAATTCTGCAAAAACATCTGTGGTGAACTGAGCTACAGAATCTCCTCCCCCAACGCCTGAAGATTCTCCATCAACAGTCTCAGTGGCGCTATGCAGGGTTGGGGGGGGTGTTTTGGGAGGGGGGGAACCTGCTCACCGCCAGGTTGACAGTCTCGTAGAGCCCCTGTGCCCTTATAGTGCCACCCAGGATGGCTTGGGCCACAGAGATCATGACGTCCGAGTGGATGTCCGCACCATCCCGTCTGAACACTGAGCTCTTCTGCACCTGGAGGGAACCAATCAAAGTATGTGAAACCAAGGCCAAGAATTGGCCAATCGTGATCCGCGGCACGGCCGCTGGCAAGCATTATAGCTTAGATATGCAATAACCAATGCTTATACTCATTGCAGTGTAGCACTGTAAAATGCAAAGAGACAAATGCATACAGCCCACAAAAAATAGCATTCGGCACACATTTCGCTAAAATGCAAGGTCCAATTCAACTGTACTTAGCCATCTTATTATCTGAAATAGCAAATTCAACAAGCTGCTTCAACATTTACTAATATGGTCAGAATTTTCAAATAATACATTGGATCGACTGGACTAGAAACATCATCTGGACATTTGATGGCAAATCTGTGTTAGAAAATGACAGAAAACTGACCCGGAACGTGATGAAGATCTCCTTCTTCCCTACGGGCATCCGGACCGTCTGTCCATCCTCCACGCCTGCAGCGAGATACAGGGCAAAGCACCGCTTCATCACGGACTTGAAGGAGAGACCACGGGTTCATGAGTGATCCGAACTACGGCCACCAGCGAAGGCTCACCTGCGGGGACCGGCACCATGACCGTGCGCCTCTGCTTGGTCTGGCCCGTCCCTTGGCACGCCATGCAGGGCGAGGTGATCACAGAGCCCCGCCCACCGCAGCGCCGGCACGTCGAGCGCATCACGAAGGGACCCGTGTTCACAGTCTCCTGCAAGTGACATTGACACCTATATATAGATGCAAAGCTTCGGGGGGCAATATACTACTGAGCAAGATTGCAATCGGTAGGACTGCGCGCGCAGTTTATGCATCATCTGCATACCGTATCTGAATAGGTTGACATTTTATTGATTTAACGGATACTTTTATCCAAAGTCATGTATAAGTAGAGAGCAGATCAGCCAGTCGCTGGAGCAATTGGTGGTTAAGGGCCTTGCTGAAGGGCCCTAACGGTGACATCACTTAAGGGCCCTAACGGTGAGATCACTTAAGGGCCCTAACGGTGACATCACTTAAGGGCCCTAACGGTGACATCACTTAAGGGCCCTAACGGTGACATCACTTAAGGGCCCTAACGGTGACATCACTCGGCTGAGATTTGAGCTGGCGACCTTCTGGTAATGGGCCCTAACCCGATGATTCACACACCTCTCGCAGGTAATCAGTAGAAACACATCAACCACATCACCTAGAGCGGCACACCCCTGTGTAGAAGAAATGTGCAGGGTGGCTCACCATGCCACTCCCGTTACACTGCTGGCAGCGCTGGGCCTTTGTGCCGGGCTCGTGGCCCCGCCCATCGCATCGCTGGCAGGTGTCCTCCAGGCTGATGGTGATCTCCTTGTTGACACCCTTAGCCGCCTGTGTGAACGTCAGCTCCATCACGTACTGAGGGCAGAAGATAACAGACTAGAGACACATCCAGCATGCACATATACCTGCACAGGACACAGACTGCGACACAGACTGCGACACAGACTGCGACACAGACTGCGACACAGACTGCGCAGATCTCAGATGTCATCTAAAGACAGCAATAATGCTGAAGGTTAGCCTCCAACGTGCTGAGCCATAGCCAGCCACTCTGCTACTATATCCCGGTATCANACTGCGCAGATCTCAGATGTCATCTAAAGACAGCAATAATGCTGAAGGTTAGCCTCCAACGTGCTGAGCCATAGCCAGCCACTCTGCTACTATATGCGGTTATCAAACTCCCTCAGAAGGGAGCAAGACAAGTTGCCAACCTCTTGCTGTTGGTGGAAAATGGAGTTGAAATCTCCGAAGTCACTGAATCCACGACCTGCAGAGAATTCCCCGAAGATCTTCCGGAAGAGCTCCTCCGGGTCGACGGTAGCCCCTCCCCTCCAGTACTGCTGCTGGCCAGCGCCAGCCTGGCCCGGGTCGAAGCCAGCTGAGCCATACGTGTCGTACTGCTTCCTCTTCACCTCGTCGCTCAGCACCTGCGCCACGCCAAAGAGACCGGAACATTCCACAGCAGTCCGGAATGCCGCTGTCGTCTTCACCGGTCAGCATGCAGCCCCGTTTACAGACTGTTTTCTGCAGAGTTACCAAAGGCTCACACTCACAACTTTTCTCCATGGCAGTTTAACCTGAGCACCACCTCACCTCATAGGCCTCCGCTAACTGGGCAAACTTCTCCTTGGCTTTGGGGTCTTCTTTGTTGGTGTCTGGGTGGTACTTCTTGGCCATCTTGAAAGGAGACGGCATAAAAACACAAGGATTAGATCCACATGTCCAGGCCTATGAGGGTCCTGCTGCTGGACCCTTGAGGGGGGTGACTATCCTAACAGCTGTAGGGTAAAAAAAAAAAAACGCCACATGGAACATTATGCAGAACCAGTAAGTCATCACCTCACTTATTGAACTGCCATGCTCATATCTGACATGGTAATGCTGACATGGTGCACTTACCACGATTGAGTTAGCGTTCAGTTGCTGCCATAGGCTGCGCATTAAACACTGTGGAGGCCCCTCACCTGGTAGTATGCTTTCTTGATCTCCTTCTGTGTGGCAGAGCGCGGCACCCCCAGCACCTGGTAATAGTCCTGCTTGTTCGCGTATGAGGCGCTGGTGTGGAAGCAGTGCGTGTTGATGGCATGGAGCCCTTTACCTGCAGGCAAGGCATGTGGGTAGGCATCTATGGCATGGATTATAAAGGACTGCTGCAATGCCACACGCAAACACCACACCACAGCGCTAAGAGAGGTCCATCACCCACATGCTTGTGACAGAATCACACTTTAAAAAAAACTCGTGTTTACTGGACCTTCATCGATCAATGCAGCTTCAACCATAGGACAGGCTGATATGATTACACAAAATGTAAACTTTACTGTGGATGAAATTACAAAGTTATTCTCGGACAAGTACTCCGACACTGTGTAGACGCCATGTGTAGCCCAGTTTTCCATAATGAAATGGTACAACAGATCGAGCACACCGTCAAACTGACTGGCGCAAAGATTATAAGTGAACAAACTCAACTCTGACTTATCTTCCCACGCCGAATCGGACCAGGCAGTTTAAAGCGCCCTCAAGGTCAACAAGGAGCACATGGAAATTTCTAGCGAGTCGCCTGATTGGATCCGCTCGCAGCGGCCTCGGATCGGGGAATGACGTGGTCTTGTCAATACATATCAGTGCTTACGATCAGATGTTTCATACACCGTTAGCCGATAAGAAAAATAAACAGACAGTAGAGAGTTACAAATTTCAATGCGTAATGCGTTGCAGTGGCGTATACGCGGCTAGTTAGCTCGCTGCACCCCGCAGTACCCAGGGCGCTTCGCTAATATATGATCATCTAGTTTATTGAACTGTCACGCTAATATCTGACCATCCAGGCCACGTGCATATCGGTAAAGCTGACACTGAGTGTCAGGCCGCTGCTGGCCGGAGATTCCTCTTACCGGACAAGCCTCTCAATGTCAGGACGCCACTAGATCCGCCGCATGTCACGCCGCCTCGGTACCGGCAACACTGAGCTTCTAGTTTCAAGACATCCCTGCATCTGGATGTCACAGCAAACACAGAGCAGCCCCGGCGTTGCGCAGAGGCCAAGGCAGCCGATAAACGGGGCAACGCACAACGAGTGGCTGAAGCCGCCATCATTACCCTGGGAATGCGGGCACCGCGCATGCGCAGGCGTCCCGGCAGCCGGACCTGCGTAAGACAGACTATCGATGCAATCGCTTGAAGCTACTTGTTTTATGTGTATGCAAGTACCCGGTGATCGAAAACCACCTCTGGTGCTAATATGGACGTTACAGTATTTAAAACTATTAATCTTTGTGTATATTACAAAAATGGGACTTCATAAAGTGGTCGCACATGTTTATGACATAAAGCAACATTCATTTTCGATGTTCTGTTAAAATACTCCGGAACTATTTTTGTTCATTCAGCCCAATGGATATTTAAAGTTACCCTTGGCATAAAACTATCTTCCGAGATTTACTGGACCAGACGCGGCTCATCGCGTGCCGAGCGCGTTTGTCGATCGCCGATAGCATCGCTCGACGAAACGCGCTCAATTGACAGGGCTGTCAGCTGAAGACAGCGGTGAATGTGTGTGTCTGCAGCACGAGAGAATTACGACAGAGGTATCCGGAAGGCAGAGAAAGTCAAGCCACAAAGCTAAGATGAATCGTTTCAAGATATCAAAGTTCAAAAACACCACGCCGAAGATACCAAAGAAAGACGTGAGTGGTGTTATGTGGCTAGCTGCTTAAGAGTAATAATGCAGTAGGGGTGGGCGTCTCGGGGTGCGCCCGGGTTTGCACGGTGGCAGTTTAACTTCCTCAAAGCTGAGCACGATCGCAGCTTTTTGCTGCGGGCTGTGCATTCATGTATCATGATCTGGCCGTTTGAATGACTCCGATCCTGTACATGCCTCGGTAATTCATTTGTGCTTCTAAATTTGGACACGACCGAGGGGGCGTTTAAGATGCTGACTGCTTTATGCAGCCCGAACAAGTTTTTTTTATTTGCTTTTTTTGCAGCAGTGCGCTAGTCTCTATACTTCTCCGTGTTGTGTAAGCTGTGCCTGTCACATTTTCGCGTTGCATGGCACACGCCTCGGTAACATGTTTACAGTCGTACAGAAGAGCAGCCAGACAATAAACCTTAATGTGGCGGAGATGATTATAAATGCAATACAGACTTTGTAAATGTAGGTCATTGGTGACTGGAGAGGATAAAAGAGCCTCGGGCACAATGTCGGGGAGACACTCCCGGTAGTGTTCTTTCTTTCACAAACTTTGCAATTACTAGAGCCGCCCAAAATTTTGGCTTGAAACTCATTTTCGAGGTGTGCATTTGCTTAATGGAGAATACTTGCTTCCCTCCTGTTAGCGTGGTCTGTTCCAGTTACGTTGTAATCTCGACTCTAGAGGCAAGTCGATTTATTTTTTATTCTCATACCATTTATATTCTGGTGGAGATCTGGCGTAATGTTGCGGATATATAGGTATAAGGAGATTGTCACGCCAGGGGACCAGGCAAGGCACCCTTTGTTACTAAAACGCCACCAGTATTCATCCCCGCGTGTCTCAAAAGAAACTACAGTTCAGGCAGCTTATGAATGCTTCAGCCCTGTACTGGTCCAGTTTGACACGCTGCTGTGTCACTGCTGCGCGAGCGTCGCCTCCCCCCCCGCCCGCCCGCATCCATCTGCCCTAGATGTAAGGATCCGTGCGGCCAAAGTCTGGCTCTTCGCTCAGTTTTTTTCCTCCCTGCTTCTTTTAACCAGTTTTATTTTTCACATTTTCTTGGTGAGCAGCCCGAAATCGCGGGGGTGCGTGGGCAGCCTTGCGTGTCTGGCAGCGGCCGCTCTGGGTCCTTAATCCTTCCAGGCGACCGGCTTGGGCGGAGGCGGCCCGTGCTTCTCACGCCGGCAGGGAAGCGGCGCAGATGCCAGTCGTTGCCCGGCTGTGAGAGGCTGGGGTGTGCCCCCACCCCTACTTTGTGCCAGCCCCCCCCCCTTTGTTCCAGCCCTCTATGCTGTCTGAAACTTCTGCTGATCTGCAGTGACACCCCCAGATGCCTGTGTGCATACCCTTCCGGCCTCCTTCCTGTTTGTGTCCCTGATCAAACTTCTCACTTCTGCTGCACTCTCTCTGTGCGGATATGCAAAACTGAAAACGTGTGCGGAACAGGAGCTATCAGCTGTGTTCAGTCTCTCCCACTTCTCATCTCGTCTCCTTTCCCAGCCAGAGGTGTTGTGTCCCAATTTCTGCAGTGTATATCTGTGCTGGCCTCACTCGGATGGCCCCGTAAACAGCCGCTTCCTTCCTTGTCCTCTCTCCATGCCCCCAGTCTTGTTATCGTCGAAGTTTGGCCTGCAGAAGTTGCCGTCACTGTGACTTGCAGTGAGAGACATACCTTTTAATTGTGTGTTTACCAGCTTCTGTACAGTTCAGACTGACACACCGTAGGCTGGGTCGAGAGCCACTGGAAAAAGACAGGGTTCAGCAGTGAACAGACACTGTCTGTTTTTTCTGTAGTGGTGTTAATTTAAGGGTGTGTTTATCCAGTACAGGGTCACTGGGTAAGGATGGGAATGTCTTCAGTTTTAAAGTAAAAGTGTATGCATCCATTTATCTATGCAGCAGGCTTTGTAAAATTCGGGTTGCAGTTACTGAGGAACTGGTGGGATCTTGGGTTTGAGATGGAGGATCTAAAGAGTTCCGCGCTGCAGACGCTTGTCACATATGTCCCTCCTCCGTGACCAGGGCTGGATCGGTGGCGTTCGGGCAGGATCTGTTGCCTCTCTGGGGAACCACATCAAATCGAGCTGTGGGTTCGTGGCCTTTGCGGCAGACCAGGCAGGTAAGTGAAATGCTGGGATACTCTATGAAAGCTATGCAAGTCTTTCTGATATTATCTGCATCGACATGTCTGACTTTGTCTGCCTGTGCTGTATGGTGTAACCTTGGCTGTTTAAACAAGTACTCAGGGAATAGAACCTGTTCCAGATTGCACCTAGTGACTGTGTGGCTAATGACAGTGTCTGAATGGAACTGTCTGGCTGACCCTGTCACTGCCCCATGCCCCTGTGTCTGTCTCTGTGTTTGCCTGTGCTATTATCACTGTGCTGTGCTCCCACGCCTGTCTCACTGCCCCATGCCCCTGTGTCTGTCTCTTTGCGCTTTGCCTGTGCTATTATCACTGTGCTGTGCTCCCACGCCTGTCTCACTGCCCCATGCCCCTGTGTCTGTCTCTTTGCGCTTTGCCTGTGCCTTTATCACTTGTGCTGTTCCCCCCACGCCTGTCTCACTGCCCCATGCTCCTGTGTTTGTGCTTTGCCTGTGCTATTATCACTGTGCTGTGCTCCCACGCCTGTCTCACTGCCCTGTCTCCCTGTGCCTATCTGACTGCCCCATGCCCCCATGCCTGTCTCTTTGCTCTTTGCCTGTGCCTTTATCACTGTGCTGTTCCCCCCATGCTCCTGTGTCTGTCTATTTGCGCTTTGCCTTGCCTTTATCACTGTGCTGTCTGCCTGTGCCAGTCTCACTGCACTGTGCCCTGCCCCCGTGCCTGTGTCTGCCTCACAGTACAGTGTTCCTCTTTGTGCAGGTGCTGGGCTCCTGGGTTTGGCCTCTCTGGAGCCAGGGCCTGATGGAAAGTGGACAGTGACCCAGATGCCATGTCATGCTGGTAAGCGCCTTTGCACATGATTAGCTGTCCATCTCAAACCTCCGCCCTTCCCTCTGCCCACCCCTCTACCCTTGTGTTTATCCCTCTGCCCCCATCTCCACCCCTCTGGTCCTGCTTCCACCCCTTAACCCTCCCTGCCCGTCCACCCG